CCAGAGGCTTGTAGCCTCACATATGTGTGCATAGTAACTTTTGAACAGTGGAATCTGCCGTGGATACTAGGACAGTGTAAATTTTGCTGGAACTGAAATTATGATCTAACAACAGGGGAACTGATCTGCAGAACCCAGAGATATTATTTTACTGAACCCCTGAGAATATCATAAAACTTGTGTGTAGGTACTCTCATATTTTAAGTGCATTTGCAGAGCACTAGGAAAGAGAAGCTATAGATTTGTAAAAGATTGTTTGAAATGGGAGCCGGTCAAAATAAGGGAATTCTGAAGAAAAGCCCATTGGGTTACATTTTGGCACATTGGAAAGAACTGGGAGGGTCTTCTGGGGGCTCGGTAAACAAGAAAACGTTGATAAAATATTGTAACCAATGTCTGTTTTTAGTTAGACTGTTGCCAACTTAAAAGTTAAAATTCTCCACTCCTGTAATTTTGCATGTACACCCCTGTTATTTTTAATTTGTAAAATTTGATAGGAAACTTCTGGATAAAGTTGAGTATTTGCATACGTATGGAATATCAAGTCTTGTGTGCAGGTATATTTTTTTTTATGAAGACTGTGATGTTCCTATCTGTAAAAATGTTGTGAGTGTAAAAAGCTTACTTTTGAAAAATTAATTGCCAAGCTTGTGATTGTTTATGAGATTGGGGAAAGTATTAATTGGGATTTTGGTGTGAAGTTTCTGAAGTTGATTACCAGAGGACAGGTATTAGCCCCCTATTTATTATATCCGTAAAAAACCCATAAGACATTCAGGAATGATATGGAAAGAGAACAGTGTGTCAATGAAATGACTCTTTCCCATGGTCATCATCTATATGTGTTTGATTTGCCTTTCCAGACTTGGATTGTTCTGGAGACTGCTAAGCATTATTCCAATTTGATATGGAATTTTCCCTGACTTGGATTCCTCCTTCTGTCTGTCATGTGTTAGGGTTTGATAGCAGTTCTTTAAGGATGCTTGATGCCTAAGGCAGAGGATCCTTTATGGCAGTGTGTACATGTATAATTTATTTATTTTAAATTTGTCAGACCAGAAAATGGGGCTATAGCTCCCATTGTCTGGTAACTCTTAGTGAATTTAATTATATAAAGCAATGAAAATGGTTGAATTGTAGGAGAGTTATTAAAAAAAAACAACCAAAAAAAAAAAACCCAAACAAAACCACTACATTTTAATCTCATAATGACATGTCTCCAGCTGGGCATGGGGAGGCTTAGTCTGGGTATTAGGAAAAATTTCTTCACCAGAAGGTGATCAAGGATTGGAACAGGTGGCCCAGGGAAGTGGTGGAATCAGTGTCCCTGGAAGTGTTCAAAGAACATTGAGATGAGGCCTTTAATGACATGGCTTAGTGGTGGTTTTGGCAGTAATGGGGTAATGGTTGGACTTGATCTTAAAGGTCCTTTCCAACCTGGTTAATTCTACAATTCTGTGATCAGGAGAAATGGCCTAAAAATGGAACTTTGAATTATAATACATTGTTACAACTAATGTTGATTTTGAGGTGGCCAGGAAAATGGGATGAAGTACTATATACAGATAGGTTTTTCACTTTAAGAAACCACCCGGAGTGGCAGACAGAATGTGAAATTAATATAGCTCTGCCAGATCCCTAATTTTGGCTTTGAAAAAGGACAGAGAAAACCAGAAAGCTAAGCAGGAGAGATGTTGTTCAGCCTGTGATATTGGAAAAATTATATATCACAGTTACCTCTGAGAGGAGCATCCTTTATATCTGTCCTATAAGATACTGATAAGGAGGAGGAGATTCTGTCACTGGCAGCAAGCAACACATTCACATTAACCCAGAAGTGCTGTTGCAGAGGCAGACATCTGTAACCCCTGCAGAGCAGGGTAAGCAGCTGTGAGAAGAAAAAAAAAAAGGGAAAACTGGGAAAGGAGGGGAGCTCGAGCAGCTCCTGTGTTTGAGCACGGGATGGGTGCTGGGGCAGGCAAACAAGTGGGAACAGACATGTTGATAGACGGGACTGAGGGGTTGTTGAATGTTTTGAAACTGGTGAAGGAGGAATGTCGGACAAAGGTGGGGGAAGTGGGTTCTTCTCCTACGGGACCGGATCGGTGTGTGTGTGCTGTGGAGAGTTTTGGACGTTGGAAGTGAGACTGCCACTGCCCTGGGGGGAGAGTGCCATGGAGTGACTCCGGTGGCTGAATTGAAACTAGACTGGCAAGGGACCTGGGGAATCTGCCCTAGTAGATCCACTGGTTAAATTAAAACTAGAGACCAGAGGAAATAAAGTGGAATTTTAGTGGATACAGGAGCAATTTATTCGGCGTTAATTCAGAGGGAAAAGAATTTGTTACAGATGGGGGAGCTCCTGGCCACCAAGGAAAAGAAAAACAAAACAAACAAACAAAAAAAAAAGGTCAAAAAGAAGCACAAATTGAAAAACAAATAAGAATGCATAAAATTTTTATGCATACTAAATTCTTGGAAATCCTTATTAGGATGTTATAAATTGAGACCATAACAGATCATAATCCAATTAAAATTTTATTAATTATAGCAAGTAGGATATGAGCAAAAACAGCTCTGGACGACAGGGGAGTCTGCGCTCCGCCAACTGCCGTGCTGAGCAGTTCAAACAGCCCCTTTTTATACATCTTTACTTCCGTGCTCATGAAGTAGTGGAGGTACTCTGCGCATGCTTCAGCTGTTGCTAGGGGGTCACTTCTGTCTCCTGGTGGTCGTTGAGGCTGAAGTAAGAAGTCTTCCTCCTTTATCCTATAGTTGACCTTTTACCCATATGTCCTTATATGGAGTTGTTTTGTCTTATTTCTGCCAGTTCCTGAAACATCTTACAGTTATCTTTAGTCAACATCTGCTATGTTTGTATAAGGGTACTTGGTTTAGTTTGTGTAAGTGATTGCGGTTATCTTATCTTGCACAAGCTGATACCGGTGACTGTTTGAGTAAGCGATTTCATATCTTTTGTTGTCTAACCTTTACATTGGGCTTAACATAAATCTTAATAAGCAATACCCTTATCCTTAGTTTCTTACAATCCCCCCTTTTTCTTTTTATCCTATTATTGTTTATTAGACGCTACTTTCATTCTCGGTACTGCAAGCAATCCTTTTTCTACACTCCCAACATTTATCATAACACTTACAATGCAATATCTCGCAATTACAAACATAGTTTTTACGTGGCATAACACATTCACAATAATCTTCATTCTCATTATCTTCATCTTCATTAATAGATACGCCCTTATATTTTGCTCCAGACCTCGTGGTTAAAATAAGCAGTTTAGCTATGTCAAACCGTTCTCTAATAAAGTGTAAAATATAGCGTCATATACAAGGCCCAACTATAAGTCGCAAGATCAACATAATAAGCGGTCCTGCTAAAGCAGACAACAAAGTGGTTAGCCAAGGTGAAACATTAAACCAGTATTCATACCATGACCTGCCCGCCTCACGATCTTTCTTACGTTGATCTAACCTTTTCCGGAGTTCAGACATGGTGTCTTGGACTACTCCCGTATGGTCAGCAAAAGAACAGCATTCTTCATGGAGAGCTACACATAACCCTCCCTCCTTTAAGAACAATAGATCTAATCCCCTTCTATTTTGCAGTACTACTTCTGATAAAGACTTTACTGAAGTGGCTAAATTTTGGATAGATTGTTCTATTTTTGCTAAATCCTCATCTACAGCCATCTGCAAACTTTGTAATTCCTGACCTTTTACTAGGGAGGCTATGCCTGTGCCTGCTCCAACTCCGCCCGCTATCAGCAGTGTAGCTAAGGTTACCACTGTAATTGGCTCTCGTTTTTGTCTATTCAGGTCTCCTTCAAAACGGTGTAACACCTCCTCAGAGGTGTGATAGATCAGACGAGGAACAATAATCACCTGTACGCAAAACTGAGATTGATTAAACACTTTTAGGGATAGGCAAGGCGTTACTCCGATGTCTGAACAAACCCATTTAGCTCCTGGTGTCGGGATAGCCCATTTGTCATTTTTATTCTTGTGTTTCTCTATAGTGTGTTTTTCTATAGTGACTGCTCGGTTGCACAAAGGTTGATACTTTTTGGGCACTGTACCTATACATTTTCCTTGACCTGTTACTAATTGAATAGTAATTCCTTGCATATGGTTCCTCTGGTCATTCCATGGGCATTCTCGTGGGTTTGAACCATTAGACCATTGAATCCTACCTGGTTTTCCAATTGCCTCAAAATATGGTGGCCTAACATTATAACATAACCAACATTCCTCAGTTAAATTTGGTTTGCTTTCATTAAGGGCACGATAAGAGGCTTGCATTAGATTCCATAAGGGGTCTTTGGATTCTGACAACTCTAGATCCCTGGATACAATGCCATTAGTTGTTTTCGAAAGGGAGTCTGGAGAAGTGGGTGCGACACTTGCGGGGGCAACCTTTTCTTCAGAGAAAGTGGGTGGATTCAGGACCAGATTTGGTCCTACTGGTAAAGGATCATGAGGAAGCTTTTCTTTAATTATTCTAAAGCAACTTCCCCTATCCGCTCCTGATTCCCAATATCTAATTCCCCAGATACGGCCAACTAACCATGTGTCATCTTGGGGTTCTTTTATAATGATTTCAGTTCTGGTACAGGACACGGACACGCTGCCACAGGGTCTTCTAGGGTGTCCATCAAAATCATGCTTTGGGGGAGTGCAGCCCGGGGGTCCCCAAGTTACATCTATATATTTATCTCCCCGCGTTTTCCAATTTGAAGCAATAGTTTCACAACCCCAATAGCCACAGTAAAAATGACCTGGATAATTACAATAACTTCTGCCAGGGTTACTTGCTGGACATATATAAAATGCCTTGCATTGGGCCTGAAGCTTTGCTAGATCCGGGGTAAAAACAGGGGAGTCCTGTTCTATAGGTATCAGGGAATATAGATGCACGGAGAAATTCCACTTCCCTGGACCGATCTGAGTTTGAATTAATTTTGACTCTGGTAAATTATATAATTTCCAGGCCATAGGTTCATGAGGGTTTCCATTTGCTTGGGTTATTATCAATAACAAAACTAACGGCATACCAGGAAAAAGGGTGTCTGTCAATTTTGCCAGTTTAAGTATATTTTTACCAGTCCTGGGGAAGTTCGGCCATTGCTGCTTTTGCATCCCATTGCTCTGGTTCTTTTCTCCACAGTTTGTTCCTCCTCTGCCTCGCCCGTCGACTCGGTTGCTTCGAGCCACGGGGTGTACCATCTTCTTGGCAGCAAGGGAATTCTTCAGGAGAGTAGCTGTTTCGGGCTTTCTGCCTATTTACATAGGCTTCCCACTTTGCAGCTTTAACTAATGGGGGGGCAAAGCAAGGCACGGTTAGTACTTCCCTTCTACACTTTATAACCAAAATTTCAGTTACAAAGGGGACTGGTTCGTTGGAGTGGTAACAATAATATTGAGGGTTTACTCCTTTGGCAAAAAAATCTTCCACCACTCATGGAATTCCCGAATAATTTCTTGTTTAGACTCTAATTGTTTTAATTTCCACTCAGTGAGAGTTCTTTGGATTTTCCAATACCGTGTGCAAGCTCCTATCGGAGGGTATCCATATTCACAGTGTGTCCACCATTTATCCTGGCATACCTTACACCTAAAACAAGCAAATGGATAACAATTGCAGTTCAAATTATTACACGTAATTCGTATATCTAGAGTACATATATTATTTACATCAGCATATCTTCTATATTCACTATTGTGTGGTTGCATAAGTTTAGCAATTTCCTTCAACACACTTTGTACGCTTCCATATATAATAGAAAAAAAGAGAAATAATTATAGCAAATATAAACAGCAATACACACTTTATACCAAAAGGTAATGCGGCAAAATAATCAAATAAAGTCTCTATCATTATGTTATCTTTTCAGAGTTATCTTGGTGTCACCTGGAGTACTGATTACTTTCCAGTGGGGTCTCGTCACTGGGCCTTTAATGCGACTGGCATGAGTCCATCCACGCTCAGCAGTCCGGACAGCTGTTTCTGTTGTAAGCAAAACAAGATAAGGTCCCTCCCAATTGGGTTTTAGGGTTTCTTCCTTCCACACTTTAATCAATATCCAATCCCCAGGTTTAACATTGTGAATTTTTAAGTCCAACGGGGGTCGTTGCACAATCAGTCCATGTTCCCAAAGCTTGTTACGATGTTCTGCTAATTGTGAAACATATTCATTAATCACACGATCTCGAATTAAAACATTTGTTTGTGAACTTTCAATTCTATAAGACATTCCATACACCATTTCAAACGCTGATATTCCTACATCTGCTCGGGGTCTGGTTCTGAGAATTAATAGTGCCATGGATAGGCACTTAATCCATGATAATTTGGTTTCTATCATTAATTTAGTCAAAATAGTTTTGATTTCTCCATTCATCCTTTCAACTTTTCCTGAACTTTGTGGATGCCATGGTGTATGGTATTCCCACTTAATACCCAAGCTTTCTGTTAGATCTCTAACAATTTTTGACACAAAGTGTGTTCCTCTGTCCGAGTCGATTACTTCAGGTACTCCATATCGAGGTATAATGTGTTCAAGTAACACTTTAGTAACTTGGTTAGCAGTTGCCCTGGAGGTAGGAAAAGCCTCAACATAATGTGTTAAATGATCCACCATAACTAATAAATATTTATAACGCCCTACCCTAGGTAGTTCAGTAAAATCTACTTGTATGTGTGAGAAAGGTCTGTATGCTGGGGAACGTCCTCCAAGAGGTCTTTGTCTCATGCTGTTTCGATTAACCTTTTGACAGGTCTCGCAGGCTGCCGTGACTGTCTTTGCTATATTATATACGCCTATACAGGCAAACTGTTGATTGAAATGATCAACTAACGCCTGGGTTCCCCAGTGTGTTTTACTGTGTATTTTTGAAAATATTTCGAGTGCTATGCCTTTCGGCAAGACTTCTCTCCCATCTGGCAATATGTACTTCCCATCTTGTTCCTTAGCTCCCATTTGTTCTAGTTTTTCCTTTTCTGCAGACTCAAAACTCAAATTCTTATTAACAGGTACTTGTTGCATAGTCAAAATCATACTATAATTGCCTGCCACTCGTTTTGCTTCTGTATCAGCTGCATTATTTCCCCTAACTTGATAACTTGTACCTCGCTGGTGTCCCTTTATATGTACAACTGCTATTTTATTCGGCATTTTCAATGCCCCCAGAATTCGCCGAATTAATTCCGGGTGTATTAGTTCTTTTCCCTGTGAGTTAGCAAATCCTCTTTCCTCCCATATTTTTCCAAAAGTGTGCACTACTCCGAGCGCATAGCGTGAGTCTGTATATATAGTTCCATCCTTTCCCTTTAGTGACACTAATGCTTTCCACAATGCATACAGCTCACAGGCTTGAGCCAACCAGCTAGCACTCAGGGGGCCTGATTCTATTGTCCTAAATTCCCCGTTTTCCAACTTAACGATGGCATATCCAGACAATCGTTTACCTTCCACTATTCGTGATGACCCGTCTATAAATAAAACTTCTCCACATTGTAGTTCTTCTTCTTCTAAGTCTGGCCTAATGCGTGTCTGTTGTTCAATTGTTTGAAAACAATTGTGCAATAATTCATTACCTTCTCCTGGGTACAAAAATTCAGCGGGGTTAACTGCTCCAATAGTTTTCAAAGATAGTTTAGGGGATTCTATAAGTATTCCCTCATATTTTAATAATCGGCTATCTGTAAGCCATTTTTCTGCTTTTTGTTGTAACACTCCCCGGATGTTATGAGGCGCATATAAGACAACCTCTCCATTAAAGGTAATGCGATTTGTTTCCTCAAGTAATAAGGCGGCAGCAGCAACAATGATTTGTAAACAACTCGGCCAACCCCTGCTCACAGGGTCCAATAACTTTGATAGGTATGCCACCGGTTTCTTCTGTCCGGCCCATTCCTGAGTTAATACTCCGAATGCTGTTCCTTCATGTATGTTAACAAATAAGTGGAATGGCCGCTTTAAATCTGGTAGGCTTAAAACCGGTGCTTGACTTAGCTCTCTTTTGAGACTGACAAACTGCTCTTGATCCTGAGGGGTCCACTTGGGTATTTTGTCTTTAGACAGTTGTTCATATAAGAATTTAACTTTAAAGCTATAGTTTTCTATCCATTGCCTACAATACCCAAATAGCCCTAATGCCTGCCGAATTTGCCTCTTAGTGACAGGCATAGGTAATTCCAAAATTCTTTTAATGCGCTCTGGATCCAATATCTTCTGGCCGTTAAACAAATAATGTCCCAAATATTTCACTTTTTCCTCCACAAATTGTAACTTTTCTTGTGATACCCGTAGGCCCTTTTGTGCAAGAAAGTTTAGAAGTCGAATGCTTTCTTTTCTTACATCCTCCTTATTATTCCCTGCTATGAGCAGATCATCTACATACTGTAACAGCACGTTCCCCGTTTGTACCTGGTATTCTTTTAAGAGCTCTTCCAGGGCCTGTCCAAACAGATTAGGGGACTCAGTAAACCCTTGGGGAAGCACGGTCCATCTCAATTGCTGTCTAAGGCCTGTCTCTATGTCTTCCCATTCAAAGGCAAAATAATCACGGCATTCTTCTGCCAGTGGACAGGCCCAAAAGGCATCCTTTAAATCAGCCACACTATACCAGGAGTTATGGGGTCCTAGTTTGCTTAGCAGCGTGTATGGATTTGCTACTACAGGGAACCGGGTGATAGTTCTTTTGTTTATTTCCCTTAAATCATGTACGAGCCGATATTTCCCATTTGGTTTCTTTACAGGCAAAATGGGGGTGTTAAAGGGTGACATACAAAGCTCTAAGATTCCTTGTGCTAACAATCGATCAATTTCTGGCCTTAATCCTCTCCGTCCTTCTAGGGATATGGGGTATTGCCTTACCCTCACAGGTATGTGGGGTTCGGAAATTTGGATTTTAATCGGTGGAATTTCCAATCTACTAATTGTGTCCGGAGAGTACCAGACATCGGGGTTAATTTGTTTTTGATCATCCACGGTCAAAGGATAAGCAGACACTGTCAGCTCTTGATTTTTCACTTTAATTTCTAATTGCAATTCAACAATTAAATCTCGTCCTAACAGATTAAATTCTGCTTCAGGGACGAGCAAGAGTTCACCCATTCCAAATTTATTTTCAGTTTCGAATACCACATTTTTGATTTTGCTTACTTTAAAGGGTTCTCCTTTTTCCCCAATTACTTGTACTTTTTCAGGGGAAACTTTACATCCCTCAGGTATTTGCTTAATAGTTGATTTTTCAGCCCCAGTGTCTACTAAAAAGGTGAACTCTTGTTTATGGGGACCTATTCTTAATTTTATCAAGGGCTCATGATGACTCCGGTCCCCTAAGATATAGAGCCCCTGACTCTCCTATTCCGTTTTCAATATTTCCTCATCCCTGATCCTTTGTCTGCAATTCTTCTTTGTATGTCCCTTCTTTCCACAGTAAAAACAATATCTCTGTTCCTTCTCTACTACTACGTTCCCTTGTTTCGTTCCAGCAGATCTGTGTTCACCAGTTCGCCCTTTGCGATCCTCTCTGACCGCTGCTACCATCATTTTTACTTGTCGTTTGCTGCTCTCTTCTTCCCGCCTTACGTAAACTTTCTGAGCTTCTCTCAGTAATTCATCCAGCCCTCTATTCTGCCAGTCTTCTAACTTTTCAATCTTCTTTCTGATATCTTCCCATGATTTTGCCACAAACTGAGTTTTGAGGAGCGCTTGCCCTAAAGGGTCGTCTGGATTTACCCCAGAGTACAGCTGAAGGGCTTTCCTCAGTCGTTCTAGCCACTCAGTAGGGCTTTCATCTTTCTTTTGCATTTCATTAAATGCTTTATTGATATTCTGGCCACGGGGTACTGCTTCTCTAATTCCCTGAATTACTATAGTTCTCAGATCCTGCATATGAGTTCTATGTACCGGATCTTGATTATCCCAATTAGGTCTTTGGAGTGGCCATTTAATATCTGCTTGGGGTCCCTGGACATGTTGAGCATCCCACAGTCTCATTCCTGCTCGTCTAATCATATCTCTTTCCTCAGTAGTAAATAATTGACCAAGGATAGATTGCATCTCATCCCAAGTATAAAGGTTTGGTCCCAAAAATTGATCTAATCTTTCTGCCACTCCGAGTGGGTCCTCAATTAAGTTTCCCATCTCTGTTCTTTTAAAATCTCGTAGGTAAGCCGAATTTAAGGGTACGGAAATATATCCGATCACAGGTTGAGGTCCCCCCATGGGTATTTCCCTTAGGGGGTACATCTGAGCTGCCCCTTTTTGACTTCTAGTTACGCGTCTAGGAGGAGGGGGAGACTCTTGTTCCGACTCTGGTGGGGGAGTGGATGCTCTGGGGGCCTCTGGAGGGGCTGTGGGAGCAGGAGGAGGAATGTAAGGAGGGGGGGTTAGAAGGGTTTCGTCTAATTCTTCCTTCTTTTTCTTTTGTTTTTTTTTTATTTCATTCAGCGGGTAAAGTCTAGCTCCCGGTCTTTCTAGCCACACTTCCGCATATTGACTCTCCTCCGGGTTAAGGGGTTTTTTATTATTAACCCAGAGGTTTAATTGCTGTCTTACCCAATCTTCTTCTGACCCATAGACTGGCCAAAAGACATTTTTAGAAATCTTCTTCCCTCCCCACATCTTAGTACAATATTCTATCATTTTTTGTTTATCTTTTCCTAGGGTTCCAGGGAAATATCTCCAATTGTCTAAGATATATGCCAGAGGGGTATTCTTAGGTACAATGGGTACCCTTCCCATGGGAGTCGAAGGCTTGCTGCCCTTCGCCCCCATCTTCTGGAATATCCACAAACATACACTCACTCGCTCCTCTTGTTCCTGGCCCAGTCCCTCGCGGGAGATGGGAGACGCAGTACTTAAGAGTCCACACTCGCTTGGTTCAGTATATCGAACCTCTCACTCGTTATATTCCAGGAAACCCAATCCCGCCCGAACGGCAAACCCGCGAACAACTTCGCAATATACTTACGCGTCCTGCGTCTTCGTCCGGACTCCCGTGCACAGAATTTTATGGGATTTTACCGGTTTCTCCTTTGCTCATTATTCTAGAATTTAGGTTCGTCGGTAAGGTTGGGGTGAGCTGTTGGTCACGGGGCCGCGAAATGTCGCGGGGCGCCTCCCCGGCGTACCAAAGCCCACCGTTCCTTATCCGAGTCACGGCACCAGAAAATTGTTAAAAACTGAGACCATAACAGATCATAATCCAATTAAAATTTTATTAATTATAGCAAGTAGGATATGAGCAAAACCAGCGCTGGACGACAGGGGAGTCTGCGCTCCGCCAACTGCCGTGCTGAGCAGTTCAAACAGCCCCTTTTTATCCATCTTTACTTCCGTGCTCATGAAGTAGTGGAGGTACTCTGCGCATGCTTCAGCTGTTGCTAGGGGGTCACTTCTGTCTCCTGGTGGTCGTTGAGGCTGAAGTAAGAAGTCTTCCTCCTTTATCCTATAGTTGACCTTTTACCCATATGTCCTTATATGGAGTTGTTTTGTCTTATTTCTGCCAGTTCCTGAAACATCTTACAGTTATCTTTAGTCAACATCTGCTATGTTTGTATAAGGGTACTTGGTTTAGTTTGTGTAAGGGATTGCGGTTATCTTATCTTGCACAAGCTGTGTCCGGTGACTGTTTGAGTAAGCGATTTCATATCTTTTGTTGTCTAACCTTTACAATGGGCTTAACATAAATCTTAATAAACAATACCCTTATCCTTAGTTTCTTACAAGGACAAGAAGCAACATTTAAAGAAGGCAAAATGGAATTAAAGAGTTAAAAATCAATTAACTGCAGTTTTGAGTTTATCTTTAATTCAACAGAAAAAGCGAACAGGAGGACCTCCCTGAAATAGAAGAAATCCTTAATCCAGGTATATCTGGGAGTATGGACATCTGAAGTTCCAGGTAAAGCGAAAAATGCTTTACCTGTTAAAGTAGAAATAAAAAGGGTGGCCTGCCCAATTAGAATAAAACAATAGCCCCTAAAATTGCAGGAAAGGGAATTAAAAAAAAAATCATTAATAAATTTTAAAATATAAATTCTTAATTGAATGTGAATTGGAATATAATACTCCTATCTTGCCAGTAAAGAAAAGTTGCAGATTGGTTCACGATCTCAGGAATCAACAAATTTGTAGAGGATATTCAGTAATAGCTAATCTATATTGACTAAATCGAATCAAAAATGATTTGCCAT